GAAAGAAAGAAAGAAAGAAAGAAAGAAAGAAAGAAAGAAAGAAAGAAAGAAAGAAAGAAAGAAAGAAAGAAAGAAAAAAGTATTTTTTCTGCTTGTTCCCCTTTGAGCTGTTTTCTGCAAAGTCATGGCCAAAAGAGACACTGTCTGCAGAAGCAAAGGTAGGCGGGGGCAGACAGAAGGGAGTGGGGAGGTGGCCTACGGGGACGTGGGGACCGACCTGTATATGTTGCTGCAGCCTCTTCTTCTCATTTTGCAGCTGGCGGCTGCACTCCTCCTCCTCCCCCACGCGGGCCTCCAGCTCCGACACCACCAGCTCCAGCTCCTGCTTACGGGCCGCCAGCCGCTCCCGGGTCTCCTCGGCCTCAGCACACAGCTCAGCCTCTGCTCGAAGCTGCTCTGCCAGGCGGGTGCGCTCCTCTTCCACCTGGGGGTGGGGTGGGAGGTCACAGGTCAGCAGGCAGTGCCCCCAGGGGCCCCAAACCCATTCCTCCCCTAGGTCCCCATCTCAGGATGACCCCACATTCTCCTAGTTACTGGGCCCCTGGGTGCCACCCTATCCCTCACCACCCCACGGCCCATCAGTCCCCAGCTCTGTCCCTCCTGTTCCCTGACTCCTGCCTTGTCCCCTCCTCTCTGCCCCCATTGCTCCAATATGCTCAGGCCTCTTCCTCTCCCAGTGGTCACCCTCCCTAGCCTCTTCCCCAGCCTCCCGGCCTCCAGTCTCTCCCTCTCCAGTCCACCCTGGACAGCTCCAGGAGGCCTTTCTCTGCCTCACATTTCATTTAATATCCTACGCCCAGCAATTTAACCAAAGGAAATAATTCAGGAAAAGCAAACAGACGAATGCTTAAGGGGTTTGCTTCAGCATTCTTTTAAGATACCAGAAATACTGGAAACAGTGCAAAGTCCACCGCCTGTGTACCAGAACCCTGCTCCACAGCTCGTGCCCTGCTCTGCCCCATCTTGGCACCCCACCCCCTGAGCACCTTGGCTGGGCAGGAACCAGTCCCCCACCCAATACCCTGCCTGCACCCCAGGGTCCTGCCTCCTGCGCATCACGGCTCAACCACACCACACAGTTTCGACGCTCATTCGGCCCCAATACCCGTTGGCTCTGACCTGACCCATCCAAACCCTTCTCCCCACAGCCCTGCCCTCGCACATCCCACTCAGCCAGAAGCCCCGCCCCCTGCGACCTGGCCCCGCC